ATTGGAGGGATATCAGCATGACAATTCTTTTTGCTGTGATCGCCTGTGGATTGCTTTCCATTGTTTACGCCATCTGGGCGACCAAATCGGTTATGGCAGCCGACCAGGGCAATGCACGCATGCAGGAAATCGCAGGCTACATTCGTGAAGGCGCTCAGGCCTATCTGAACCGCCAGTACACCACCATCGCCATTGTTGGCGCAGTCGTCTTCGTCATCACCTGGTTGTTGCTTGGCGCCACCGCGGCAATCGGCTTTCTGATCGGTGCGGTGCTTTCGGGTGCGGCAGGCTATATCGGCATGCATGTCTCGGTCCGGGCCAATGTGCGTACGGCACAGGCCTCGGCCGTCAATCTGGCCGGCGGCCTTGATGTCGCCTTCAAGGCCGGCGCCATCACCGGCATGCTGGTGGCGGGTCTCGCGCTTCTGGGTGTGGCGGTCTACTACTACATTCTCACCGGGCCGATGGGCCTGGCATCTGACAGCCGTCAGGTGATCGATGCGCTTGTTGCACTTGGCTTCGGCGCTTCGCTGATATCCATCTTCGCTCGCCTCGGCGGCGGTATCTTCACCAAGGGCGCTGACGTGGGCGGTGACCTGGTCGGCAAGGTCGAGGCCGGTATTCCGGAAGACGACCCCCGCAACCCGGCGACCATCGCCGACAATGTCGGTGACAATGTCGGTGACTGCGCCGGTATGGCCGCCGACCTGTTTGAAACCTACGCGGTGACCGTTGTCGCCACCATGGTTCTGGCGGCGATCTTCTTCGGCGGCTCGGACGTGCTTGGTTCGGCCATGCTCTATCCGTTGGCCATCTGCGGCGTGTCGATCCTGACATCAATTGTCGGCACTTTCTTCGTCAAGCTCGGCCAGAACGGGTCGATCATGGGCGCTCTCTACAAGGGCCTGATCGCCACCGGCCTGTTGTCCATCGTCGGGCTCGGCGCCGCCACCTCGTTCACCATCGGCTGGGACGAGATCGCGGTGATCGATGGCATGTCCATCACCGGCACGGCACTGTTTGCCTGCGGCGTGATCGGCCTGATCGTGACCGCGCTTATTGTGGTGATCACCGAGTATTATACCGGCACCAACAAGCGTCCGGTCAACTCGATCAGCCAGGCGTCGGTCACCGGTCACGGCACCAACGTNGTCACGGCACCAACGTGATCCAGGGGCTTGCTGTTTCGCTTGAATCGACCGCACTGCCTGCGATCGTCATTGTCGGCGGCATCATCTCGACCTACCAGCTTGCTGGTCTGTTCGGCACCGGCATCGCCGTCACTGCCATGCTCGGCATTGCCGGCATGATCGTGGCGCTCGATGCTTTCGGTCCGGTCACCGACAATGCCGGCGGTATTGCCGAAATGTCGGGTCTTCCGCCGGAAGTCCGTCAGGCCACCGATGCGCTCGACGCTGTCGGCAACACCACCAAGGCCGTCACCAAGGGCTACGCCATCGGTTCTGCCGGTCTTGGTGCCCTGGTGCTGTTCGCGGCCTACTCGAACGACCTGAAGTTCTTTGCCGAAAGGGCGAATGCCGAAGGCTCGACGCTGTATCCTTACTTCAAGGACATGGGCGAGATCTCGTTCGATCTGTCCAACCCCTATGTGGTCGCCGGCCTGATCTTCGGCGGTCTGATCCCCTATCTGTTCGGCGGCATCGCCATGACAGCTGTGGGACGTGCCGCGGGCTCGATTGTGGAGGAAGTGCGGGCCCAGTTTGCGGCCAAGCCGGGCATCATGGCTGGTACGGAAAAGCCTGATTACGGCCGCGCTGTCGACATCCTGACCAAGGCCGCGATCCGTGAAATGATTGTGCCCTCGCTGCTGCCGGTTCTGGCTCCGTTGTTCGTGTATTTCGGCGTGCTGCTGATTTCAGGGTCCAAGGCATCCGCGTTCGCGGCTCTCGGCGCATCGCTCTTGGGCGTGATCGTCAATGGCCTGTTCGTCGCCATCTCGATGACCTCGGGTGGTGGTGCCTGGGACAACGCCAAGAAGTCCTTTGAAGACGGTTTTGTCGACAAGGATGGCATCAAGCATGAGAAGGGATCTGAGGCTCACAAGGCGTCCGTGACCGGTGACACCGTCGGCGATCCTTACAAGGATACCGCTGGTCCGGCCGTCAACCCGGCCATCAAGATCACCAACATCGTGGCTTTGCTGTTGCTGGCGGTACTCGCTCACTAAGAGGGAACAGGGCGCAACTGCCTGAAACTGAAAACCCCGCGGAGAGCGATCTCCGCGGGGTTTTTCATGCTGTGTCCGGATCCCGCCTTTGGCATCGTGGCCAGAGTTGGGGCGGGCGTGGTTTAATTGCCGCCGCCGAGAATGTTGCGGGCCATGTTCTGCGAGGCTTCCGCGCTGGTAGCACCCGACATCACCTGGGCCAGGAACGACTTGTCGATGCCGCCCGTCGGCGTTGTCCGGGAAATCATGTCGAACACCCTGCCATCCTGAAGCGTGTAGTTGGCGATCTGCTTGACCGTGCCTTCCTCGTCGAAATAAACCGCCAGCACTGTCTGATCGACCAGTTTCGGCTTCATGAACATGGCGCCGCGGATGCGCTTTTGCGATACGTAGTAGAAGACTTCATTGTCGAACGTCGCCGTCGTCGATGGTGTCCCAAGCGACAGCAGAACCTGTTCGCGGCTGGAACCGACGGGCGTCAGCTCGAGCGCGGTCTGGTCGACCACATATCCCTGGTTAAAGACTTCACTGGTGGTGCAACCACCCAGTGCGATCGTTGAGACGACTGCGATAGCCGCGCCGAGACGCATTTTCCGTCCGGTTGCCTTGAAAACTCTTATCGTCAACGACATCTCCCTTTGGCACGCGGCTTGCCAGCCGCAGCCATTGCGTTTTGCGTCCCATTCGGTAAACCAGCTTCCGCACGGATGCAACACGCCAGTCTACCGCAGTTGCGGTGATATCCATCGGCCATTGAAGGCATTTTCATGATCTGGAACCTGTTCAAGCGAAAAAAATCCAATCAGGCTCTGGTTGAGAGGCAATATGCCGAACTCACCGGGGCTGCTCGATCCGAGGTTTTTTACGATGCGATGGGTGTACCAGACACCGTCATGGGCCGGTTTGAGATGATTTCGCTGCATCTCTTCCTCTATCTGCGCCGTACCGGATCGGCAGGCGAGGCCGCCAGAGGTCTTGCGCAGGAACTCGTCGACGCGTTTTTCGAGGATGTCGATCACTCGATCCGCGAACTTGGCATAGGTGATACTGGTGTTCCCAAGCGGATGAAGAAGCTGGCCAAGATGTTTTACGGTCGCGTGACATCCTACAGTCAGGCGCTGGATGCCGGTGATGGGGAAGCCCTGAGGGGGGCGCTCAAGCGCAACATCCATCCCGAAAGCGGTGATGATGCCCCCTCCATGCAGGCGCTTGCCGATTGGGTGTTTGCAACAACGCATTCACTTGAACAAGTATCTGATGAAACCCTGGCCGCCGGCGGTCTGGAATTTAAGGCAGCCGACAGGGAGGTGATGTGATGAGTGGTTCCGAAGATCTGTTTTCATACGATGTCAAGGTCAGCCACGTATCGGCCAATCCGGTCACTGTGAAGATCGCCGCTGATGCCGTTGACCTCAAAAGGCTGGCGCAGCAATGGCGCGTGCCGGAAGTACTGAGCTTTGAAGCGGTGCTGGAACTGGGCCGCTGGAAGCGGGACGGCGTACGGATGAAAGGCCACGTCAGCTCCGCCATCGTTCAGGAATGCGTGGTCACCCTTGACCCCGTCACGCAGCAGATTGAAGAGGACGTTGAAGCCGTCTTCCTGCCGGAAAATTCACGTCTGGCGAAACGTACGCTTGATAACAATGGCGAAATGTTTCTGGATCCGGACGGGCCTGATCTGCCTGAAGTCTTCAGCGGCGATTCGATCGATGTCGGAGCCGTTATTGCTGAGTTTGCGGCACTTTCCATCGATGCCTACCCACGCAAGCAAGGCCTTGAATACACCGACCGGATCGAAAGCGATTCATCAACGGACAAAAAACCGTCACCTTTTGCGGTTCTGCAAGGCCTCAAGGACGGCGAATCCGACGGTTAGGTGACCGTGAGATGACAAAGCGGTTGTACGTCGTGTGAAAACGAGTATTTTCTGCCCACAAATCCGGCCTGTAGAGCCGGGGATAAAGGACGGGGCGTGATCAGGATTGCGGTTGATTTGATGGGGGGCGACCATGGCCCCAAGGTT